GCTTGGGGGAGGTGGCCCTGGGGCCACCTCAGGTCTTCTGGGTTGAGAGCCTAGGCAGAGGGGTTGACTGCGTCCAGCTCGTATTGCTGCTCTTGCGTCAGCCCCGGGACGTGCTTCAGATTCAGAACCTCTTTGGATCAGTCTTAAAAGCCCGGGGCCAGGCACTGCTGCCTCGTGTGCCCTTTTGTCCCTCTCTCCCCTTTTCCCCTCTTCAGAGGGGACCGGTGCCAGAGGACCCTCTGCTCGGTCCATCTATTTGCCTGGGGTCAGAGCGCAGCCTCCCCCCCACCCCCTCACTTCGGGCCTGTGGGCAGATCGTCCCGCAGACCCGTGGGGGGCCAGGGCTGGGTCACTGCAGAGTCCCCTCTTCCTTGATCTTATGGAAGAGGAGACTAGGGCTGGCAAGGTGACTTCCCCAAGTACTCATAACTGACTACCGAACCCACTTCAATCACCCACCTCCTTGCAGGGCACCTTCACTGCTATGGCCTCAGTTTACCCATCTGCTGAGGAGTGGGAAACGAGCCCCATCCTCCCGACGGCAGGGTGACGGTTGGGATTTGCCAGCGGGGTTTTAGAAAGGGCACATTCCTCCGCTGCTCCAGAGGTTCTGCAACCCGAACGTGTGACGCTGTGAAAACGCAGATGGCTGCCCCCCGGCGCCACGCCGCAGGGTCTCCCACTCGGTGGCTCTGCGCTGGGCTCAGAGCATCCGCACGTCTAACAAGTTCTAGGTGATGCTGATGCTGCTGGTCCAGGGCCCACCCTTGGAGGACCACCATTCTAAAGCACACAGCTCCCGGACACAGCACGGCGAGTCACCCAAAAGGGGCGAGGGGCCGGTGTGCCGGAGCTGGCCGGCACCAGCTCCTGGGAGTTGGTAGCTTGAAATCAACCAGAGTGGGAGTGTTGACACCTCAGAAATCTGCAGACGCCACACACCAGGGCTCTTTTCCCTCGCAGAGCTGGTTGTTAGACATTGAGCAGCACAGCGCTGGGTAAGAGGGTGATCTTTCTCTTCCTCCGCACTGTAAGGCTGGGTGTTGTGCCACAGAAACTGGACAGGAAAGATCAGAATATCTCTGTGACTCTATTTCCTTGATTTTAAAATTTTTAATTGAGAGATCTGTAAGCTGGCATGGTTCCACCAGCACTTTGGGTTCCCACGGCATCAAACCAAAGCCCATTGTCAACAGCAAAACAAAATGAGAGGCTTCACCAATCAGAAACCACCAAGTAACCTCTACCTAGCGACTTCCCACCAGATCACACCCAGATAAGGCCAATGCCTCGCTGCAGCCTAGCAAGACATTGCTTTGCTTTGCGTCCACGTTCATCCTACAAAAGCCCACTGCTCATGTCGCCAGAGCGGAGCCCTCTGAACCTCTTCTGGTTCTGAAAGCCCAATTCGTGAATCATCCTTTGCTCAAATAAACCTTTTTGTCTAAAGTTTTTTTTTTTTAATACCTTGTCTGTGAATTGGAAACAATTGCACCTACCTCACTGGGCCATAAAATTAAATGAAAAAAAAAAAATACATGCGAATTGTTTGGCACAGTATGCAGCATAGAATAAGCGCTCAAAATGTTTGTGGTTGTCACTAAAATCCTTTAGATTGTAGGGACCTATGTATTTTCTTCCTATAAGAGTATAAAGTTCTATGTAACTGTCAATTCAGGAGGGGTGGAGACCCTGCCCTACCGTGCTTGACAGCTTTGGGGGTGTCTGTCTAACCTCCAGTCCTCCTTATCTGGGGACCACCACCCCAATCTGCAGCATGAGCCCCAGCCCCTGGGTTTGCATGTGAGACACCCCTGGCTTTGGCAGCTTACACTAGATATTCTGGGACCTCAGTTTCTCCCCCACGACCTCGGAACCCAGAGCCAGCCCGTAACTCACCATCCCAAAGTTGATGGAGCAAGCAGGCTCTGCCAGCCGCCAGAGGGCTCAAGTAAGGGGTGCAAAGAGAGGGGGGTGGAGCAGGTGGGCAGAGTAGGCAGTGGGGGGAGGTGGAGAAAGCATCCCGAGGATGCCTCTGCCTCTGGATCAGGGATCCCCTGAAGGTCTCCTGCTTCCCGGTCCCGGGCCTGGATCCTCACAATCAGCGTCTCCTTGGGCTTCAGTCAAATCAAGTTTCTGTTTGCTGCAACCTATGGCTCCCACCTCACCCCCTGTCTCCCCTCTTTGTGCAGCCCCCACGCCCCTCTGTACAGGCCCCGGCCCCAGGTGGAGCCAGGGAAGGGGTGGATTCCAGTGCCAGCCCCATCCTGCCCACCGTGGGCTTGGGTAGGGTTCTAGGACTCTCTTCTGCAGTCCTCATCGAAAGCGAACTTGGGCAGGAGCCAAGTCTCCTTCTTCTGAATTTTCCCCATTATACGCGCAGAAATGAATATTTCCAGCATTAGCTACTCAGTATCTGAACATCATTCCCTGCCTAAGACCCTTCAGCCCTCCGTTGCTCTTGGCATGGAATCCAGTTAGCGGAGGGACTGGGTGAGTCTCCCCTTGCCCCCTCCTGCCTACTTCCCGCTCCCACTGGGCTCTGGGCGTCCTGACGCTGGCAGTTCCCCAAGACCCCACGTTTCTTCTGGCTTCTCTCTGTGCAGAATATTTTTTCCCCCGAGGCTCCAGACACCTGCTCACCACTCTCGGGCCTCCCCTCGATGTCGATGCCCCTGGGAGGCCTCTCCCGACACCCTCTCGCGTGCCTTGTAGTCTTCCTGCTATCTCAGCACTTCGTAATGGCCTATTTACACATCCCCCTCTGCTGCACCTCAAGTCCCCCGAGAGCAGGCACCCTGCGTCACCTCTCTTATTTCCCCAGAGCTGACACTGTCCGTGAGTGGGGTGCACACAACAGAAGCAGGCCGTAGGGGAGGGTGCAGCCGGTGAGTCCTGGCTGAGAGCACCGGACCAGGGAGAAGACTCCGATGAGAGAGCAACATGCATGCAGGCCCGAAGGCTGCAGAGCTTGTAACCTGCCCCCTAGAAAGGCCAGGAGACCTTCCTCAGGGACACAGAGCGAGAGGCCAGTGGTCCTGGCATGTAAGAGGGACTAGAGAGGTGGAGGCAGACGCTAAGGCTTAAAGGTGGACCCGGGGTTCCCGCCGTATTCACGGAGCACCTCGCGAGAACTAGACGCCAGGGCATAAAGTGGAGTGAGACCGGCCTGCACCGGCAGTTCGCAGGCCAGAGGGGAAGGCAGGAAACGGGAACTTCTGCTCAGCATGGACAATGCTAGAGTCCTGTAGGAGCACAGAGGAGGGAGGGATGGATTCTGCCCAACCTGGAGGACGGGGTGGGGCCGGGAAGACATGGGAGCTGGGCTGGGGCATGGAGCGGGGCGGGAGCTCCCGGGGCTGGGGGTGGCAGGCGAGGAGTCGGCTTGAAGAAGGGGGCAATGCCAGAAAGGGCCGAGGCACGGCCAGGGAACAGCAGCTGAGGTGGTTAGAGCTGTAGGGGAGAGAGAGAGAGAGAGAGAGAGAGAGAGAGGGAGGGCCTGCACCGGGAGGTGAGGCTGGGAGGGCCGCCGGGGAGCCAGACTGGACGGTTAGGCGGCCTGGCCAAGGGGTCTGGACGCGGCTCCTCTGCAGGGAGGAGCACCAATGGCTCCTGAGCAGGAGCATGGTGACCAGAGCTGTGTGTTGGAAAGTGAACTCTGACCCTGCGTGGAGGAGGCTGGGAGGGGCAGCGCCAGGAGGGAGGGAGGGCGGGAGGACTAGGTGGAGCCTGTCTGTGGAGGACGTCCGGGTCACAGCCAACAGGCCTTGGCCCCCAGGCTGGGGGAGCACGGAGGATGGGGGAGGCAACACGGCTTCCTCAGAGCAAGATGCGGAGGAGGAGCACCAATACTTGAGGAGCACCTTTAAAATCTGGGGAAGAATGCACGGGTGGCTCTCAGAGAGCATCTGGGAGCTCGGGCCAGATGCAAGGTGGCGAGCCCAGTGGGAAGGGAGGCCCGTGCGACAGGTTTGCCACCTGAGGCTCCTCAGAGAACGGCTTTATACCTGGAACAGTGTGGGCGCTTCAGGGAAGAGGGGACGCCTGGTGTGGGGGAGGGGGGTGAGTTGGGATGTGTTTGATGTTAGGGGAGAGTGGGACGTTGATGTCAAGATGCTCGGCTCATATCCCACAACGAATCAGGTATCGAAACATCACATCATACCCCGTAAATAAATACGGTCCTTAGTGGACAATTAAAATTAAAACTTTTTTAAAAAAAAGACGCCCAAGCCGAGTGCCTTACACAGAGGGTGCCCAGGATGCACTGCAGAGCGAGAGCCAGGACTGCAGGGCCACACGTCATGCGCCAGAGAAGCCGGGATGGCCGAGCCCGTGGCGGAATCCAGTGCTCCGGCCCCCGGCTGTCAGCCCGGGTCCCCGAGCGTGAGCATGTGCGAGTGAGCAAGCGAGCAAGCCACCACGCGCAGGCAGGGCTTGCTGGGGAATGGAGAGTTCCGGTTCATTCCACTGAACCCCATCTTCTCCCAGAACCCACCTCCCCACCCTCCCACCCCCAACCGTTTCCAGGCGATTCCTGCCGTGTGCTGGGACGGGGACCTAACAGGACCTTCCCGTGTGTGTCCCGCCCTCCAGCAGACCAGGAGCTTTCTGAGCACGGAGCTGTGTCCCCTCCCTTCCTATTCCCCACAGCGCCCAGGGAGGACCTGCACGTGTTGGGGACAGGCACACCGCGGGACACTCAGAGTCTCCCAGACAGAGGGCATGCCGGAGATGCCTTTTCTTGCCAGAAATCCCATTTCTTCCCACCAGGAATCGGGGCCCAACCCCACCGGCACAGAGTAAGCAGTGACCTAGTGACCACCTGGCACTTCCTGGTTTGGACAAGGCCGGTCAATTCAGGTGGCAGCACGGCTCCCCTGGCTGTTTGCCAACCCTGCTGCGCGTAGGTGTGAGACCCGCCGGGGATTCTGGGGGAAGGGGCAGGAAAGGGCTGTTTTTATGTGGACCTGCCCGGCCCACCTGGCCCAGAGGCTCCGTGTTATCAAATGTTTTTTTAGTTCCTATGGCAACCGAATCACAAGAGCCAGGATTTGTTATTGTTCCGGGAGAAAAGGGAAGGGCCACACTGCAGGACTGACGTCCATCCGTCAGCCGGGCGGCTGAGTCACCCCGCCACGGTCTGGTGCACCCACGGAGTCACTTCCCTGTGGTCTGAGGCTCTCACCGGCCTCCAGTCTTTGGCAAGAGGTCGTGCGTCTGTCCGTGAGCGCACAACAGGCCACCCGTGCCGCAGGCAGGTAGCCGGGCGGGGGTGGGGGTCACTGCTGGGGCACAGTCCTGCCTGCAGGGACTGAGAGCCTCTGGGGAGGCGCAGTCGCTGTCCTCTCGGAGCACACGTATGTATTCCCAGGCAGTTTCTAGGGCCACCTGCCGATTGGCTTACTCTGTGACCTCAGCCAAGCCACTGGGCCTCTCTGAGCGCCAGCCTCTTTATGCACAAAACAGGGAAAATAGTACTATCTCATCAGACTGTTATGGGAAAGAAATGAAATAACGCCAATGGTGCTCTGAGCACCATAGATATCCCGAGTGGCATTGCTGATGGCCACACGTCTCTGCACTACCTGGAAGGTGAAACAGAGGGAGCTCCTGCTACTCCCCAAACACAGGGGCCACCCACCTGCGGGGCAGCCATGGGAGGCCGTGACCAACACAGCCAGCCCCACCCACCAGCACCAGAACCTGAACTAAGAAGCATCAACTGCTCAGACATAGAAGAGAACAGAGCCGGAGACCCAACGGGTCACCTGGACCGGGTGGGTGAGAAAGTGGGGTGGGGGCAGAGGAGAGGCAGGGAGGTGGGTGTTCCCAGAGCATCCCAGAGAGGTGCTCAGGCCACCCAGTGGGCAGCAGGTGTCCCGGGGTGCTGATAACACCCTTGGCCTAGGACTGTGCTGGCCAAGCAGCTTCTGATAACCGTTTGGTTTCTGGGCAGAATTCCCCACCAGAGAAAGGGTGCCGAGGGGTGAACGCAGCCCACGCTCACCGCGGAAGGCTGAATCAGCCCCCTGGTAGTCACACTAGGGCTGCAGTGTGCGTCACCCCAAACCCGGCCACCTCAGACGCTTCTACCCACCTTTGTAGGATTTCTAGGCCTACAAAGTGGAAAACCAGCCCCTAGAATGTGATGGCTCTAGGAAGGAAATACGCCCCACGGGGTCCCCTCACCCACCCAGGGGAGTCCAGCCTTCCCCAGGGGGAGCCCCGGAATCACCCGGTCTGCAGAGTCATCTTCCATGCTGACCTCTGCTGGACCCTAGAGCCAGGCTGGCTACATCCCCCCCGCTGGCCCTAAAGCACAGCTTTCCAGACTGTTCATCAAGACCCACACATGGGTCACGGAATCAGTTTAGTGGGAGGGATTCTTAAAAAATTAGATGGAACAGAATAACATACATCAGGGTGCTTCACAGGGAGAAAGGATGAGTATAACTTCATGAGTCTTTGGTGCATGTTCGTATATACATATGTGTGTGTGTGTGTGTGTTGTTTGTATGTATACACACACATACCTACACACTACCTGGATACATATGAGCCAAGGCCCCAGCAATAGAAAAAATGGTACATTCTAATTGGATAGTTTGAGAGGCATTTATTAGACACTATTTACCAAGACGTGGGCAGGGTGTAGGGACAGCGGGGCTCAGTTACCACCCTTGGGCTTGAAGGTTTGATGGAGGCAAGCCCCTCCAGAGCTTAGAGACAGAGAGGGTGATGTGGAGAGAGCCGTGCCCATCAGCTGAGGGGACCGGACAGCCTGTGGTGACCACGACGGGGAATAAACACTCCTCTCCCGCCCTCTGGCCGGGGCTGCCCACTGGCTGAACCCGAGGGAAGCCGGAGGGCAGGAGAGCGGGGAGCAGGTCCTTAAGTGGGGAAACACCCAGTGTCTAATGTGTGCACAGGATGCAGCAGGAAATGCAAGTATTTCTTATTATGGTTCTCAGTGACATTCTAAAGCAATACCCTGGAGGCAAGTGTCTGACATAAAGTCACTGCCAGGAAGAAGCCGGACGTTTCTGAACGCCCCAGGTCACGGTCAGCGGCGGAGGAAAAGGCTTTGGGAGGCGACGCTAATGCCGGTGAGGAAACAGCAGCCGGAAAGGCAGCCGAGCGGGCGGGTGCTGGCCGCATTCTGCAGCCCGGGCGGAGCCTCCTCCTTCACCCAGGTGCCAGGTGGCGGCGCTGAGCCCTGGCCCTACGGGCTGTGGGCCTGGGGTGAGCAGCGCAGGGAGGGAGCGGGGGCGCGTGTGGGAGAGGGGAACAAAGGGGCCTGTGGTCGCCCACGCCCACGCCGGCCGGTTGCCTCAGCTCCGCAGGGACAAAGGGCAGAGTTCTATTTCCAGCTCCCCGTGGGAGCAGGAAAAAACGAAGTTCTTGTATTCCGCACGCTTGCGGTTGGCTCGCTCATCCCTGGCCTACGGGTTTTTTCCTGTCTCTCAGCCTCGTTTCCACGGCCCACGAGGCTGCTGGGCCCGTGGAGGCCGGGTCACAAGCTGGAGGTCCCACGGCTGCCTGAGCAGCAGGCCAGGCTCTGGGCTCCGAGTCTGCTGCCGCCGCTGGTGGCCCAGCCCATACACAGGTGTCCTGGGAAAAGCTTAGACCGTCAACCACAGGTCCCTTTCACACGCTCGGCAGGTGGCCCAGTCCAGAGCTGGGCGTGGAAGGACCGCAGAAGAGAGAATTTTCTGGAAAGGACATTATTTCCTCTAATGGGAGAAATCTCATTTTGCCCTTTCTGTTTCCTTGGGCAATAGGACGAGGACGCTCTACCCTTTGCGGAGCCGGGCTCCTCCGGGGTTACTCACCTGTACCTACGGCCGAGTTGTTTGCTCAGGAGGTAACGAGGTGGAGCGCATTTAACCTTTGGACATTCCTCCTCCTCCAGAACCTCTCTGGCACGCTCCTGTCACGGTCAGGGCTGGGACGGGGCCGTAGCACGTGGCCGAAGGTGGCTCCTGGGCTGTGCCCCCTCTGTGCCCTCTCCCCCTGCCCCGAGGAAATGGCTCGCCAGTGCCATATCTTTTAAGTCAACCAAAACTGAAAGCCGTGGATTTACTACTTAACCTTAACCAGGACATCACTAAACTCCACAGTGAAGGAAAAGAAAAGAGAAAGTCCAAGAGGACCAGTCTCCTCCAGGCCTTGACCAATGACCTGAGCCCAGAGTGTGGGTGTCAATGCCCGGACAGCATGGCTGGCTGCTTCGCTTCACGCCGTGCTCCTCTGCCAAAATCCAAGGGGTGTCAGCTCCCCTCTGCACCTTGCACCTCCGGCCCTGCGTGATCGGTGACCTGTCGTAAATTGAGAGAGACCCGGTGGAGAGCAGCGGCTCTTCCTTACTCCTCTCATTTTATGCCCGTTGTCTGCAACAGTGCCTGGCGGTCATGGGGCTTTGGGAAATACGAACAGATTAAAAGAATTAATTACACATTCATTACAGCTAAGTTTTCCAATGCTGAGGGGGAAAAAATGAAGAGCTATCCATGAGTTTCTATATATATATATATTTTTTTTTTTTTGGTAGGGGAAGGCAGTGAAAACCTTTCCTATTCCAAGAAAATCTACTCTAAGCCCCAAAATAAAATCAAAGAAAAGCAGCATAATCAAATAAGTGTGCCAGGTTTAGCAGATAAAAATACAGAATAAAGGGGGGGGGGGAACCAAATGGTTTCTCTACTTACATAACGCTTTTGACACCAAATGTGTGGGGTTTTCAGGCCAAGCGATTCCCTCATTCTCTAGGGTCACCAACTGTGTGTCCTACAATTTCATTCAATTCTGACACTACTCAGAGTTAGCACAGACCCTGCAGGTTAAAGGCTCAGTCCCACAAGACCGTCCCCACTTCAGACACCAGTTGCAAGCAGTGGGTCCCTGGGTTAGTCACACTTCTGCCCTACTTGGCTACAAATCAGGAGTTCCCAAGACCCCCTGCTCAAGTTTGATAATTTTCTATAATGGCTTGAAGAACTCAAGGAAACACTTTACTTGCCATTGCTGGTTTCTTATACAAGATATTATAAAGGACACAAGTGAACAGCTAGATGAAGAGGCACTGCATGGAGAGTGAGGTCCGGCAGGGTCCCAAACACAAGAGTTTCTGTCCCCATGGAGTTGGGTGTAAGCAACTGGTGACCACCCTCCCAGCAGGTGGTTACATTCACCAACCCGGAAGCTCTCTGAACCCTGTCATTTAGGGTTTTATGGAGGTTCTACTGTGGCAGGCAAGATTGATTAAATCACCGGCCATTGGTGACTAACTCAGTCTCCAGCCCCTCGTCCCTTCCAGGAGGTGGGGAGAGCTGAAAGTTCCAATCATGCCTTGGGCTTTCTGGCAACCAGGCCCCTATCCTGAAGCTATCGAGGTGTCCCAGCCACCAGCCATCTCATTAGCATACAAAAAGACACCCTGGATATTGCCAAGGTCTTAGAAGATCTGTGCTAGGCACTGGGGACTAGGACCAAATATTACAACAAAAGATGCTTCTATCTCTTCTATTTCCTATCACTTAGGAAATTACAGGAGTTTTTGGGAGCTCTGTGCCAGGAACTGGGAGTAAGGACAAAGTATGTATTTCTCATTATATCATAATATCACACAGGACTTCCAGTTAAGTTTGAATTTTAAGAAAATAATTTGTAAACATCTCAAACATTGCATGGGACACATTTATACTAAAAGTTTGTCATATGTAACTGGGTGTCCTGCATTTTATCTGGCAGCCTCCACCCAGGGCTGTGCACACTCGGGACGCCAGAGGAACCCAGGGGCTGTGCAGCCGGGCTGTAAACCACTGCTTTAGGGACAAACGTGTTCTCCCATTCTGCCTCTCTCCGGCCACCAGAGGAGCTGTTCTGCTTCTGAGCAGGGCTAAGGCTCCTTCCTTAGTTCCAGAGGTCCCAGCAACTCTGTGTGGGCCCCAGCTATAATGAAAGGCCACTGTGACTCAGTTTCCTGAAGCCTGGGAGTATTCCTTAAGGGTCAGAATAACTCTATATGCAGCCAACATTTATGACAATCATCTGTACCCGTTCACGCAGCCGTTTCAGATTGCTTCAGACCCCGTTGTCACCGAAATGCTCCTTTTCCCTGACAGACGGCTGCCTGCCCCGTGAAGGCATATTATTACAAAGCCGTAGCCACCTTGCTTTCTCCTCCTTGCCCCCCAGCCCTCTCCTCCAGGGGTGAACAGAGGAGTGACTGCATTCAAGCCATTCGTCTTGGTTCTGTTGAGTGGATACTGGTGGCCTCAATGTGACCAGTGCTAGAGGTGATCGGACGAGCACCTCACCTCTCTCTCTTCACTCCCCTCACCCCCCAAAAGGGGCTAAGAGGCTCCTTGGATAATCGAGTGAATCCCTGAGTGCCTTCCAGAATGAGCTGGCTCCCGGAGGGGCTGCAGGTGAATCTCAGTCAAGCACAGGTGTTGATTTTTGCCTGCTCAGGTTTGAGCCCCTTCCTATGTGGGCGAGTCCAGCAGGGTGCGGTCTTGGTGGGAAACAGACAGTCCTCTGGGGCCCAGGTATGACCCAGGCTCAGCCCAAGGGATGCTCGTGTTTCGGGCTTTGACTCTCAAGGGAGAGATGGGCAGCTGGAAGTGACATGGCCGTGGCGATGAGATCAAGAGTCCAGCGGTCGGTGGCAACTGGCTGCAGCACACACAGGCCTCCTAACCAGACGGAGTGGCTGTGTGACTGGGTTCCCAGCTTCCTGTCTCTCTTAGGTATGTTCCCTGCCCATTTTCCTGAACCTACTTTGCTAGACACCGTAAACCATCCAACATCCTTTCCCATCAGTGGGTTCTGAGCTTGAGTTAGCCGGCGTGACTTCCTGCTGCTTGCAGCAAGAGCACGCACAGGCAAAAGCTGCAGGGTGCCAAGCTTCACCCCAGCACTCGCTGCCCCTGTTCCGTGGCACTGTTAAATAAAGTGTATAGGAGAGCATTGTTTTGGACTGAGCTCCTGCCCTGGCCCCCAACAGACCACACCAAAATGGAGCCGCTTGTGCTAAGTGCCATGCAATCGACTGAAACTTTAACCACTTCGGGACCAGTGTCCACTATAGTCGATAGCCACAGATGAACGCACACAGTGACTTTAGCCGACAGCCGTGACATGAAGGCGTACAGCCGAGCATCGACTTTAGCGTTAATAACAAAACTTGACTTTTCTAATTTTTCATTTATCAAAATAAAATTGTGAACATTTAAAAATAATGTAACGAAAACATATATGTATATGTTACCTATTCTGATTCCCATTACAAGTAAAGCTGCCTGTAAAGTAAAACAAGCTTTCAGTGCTTTAAAGCTTTCCTCATCACACAAAAGCAAAACGTCCCAAAGTGGTTAAGGAAGCAGGAAAATCCCCAAACAGATGAAATTTTCCTAAAAACAGGAGATTCACAGCAACCAGTCAGAAAGGGCCCAGTCAACCTGAGCTGGCTTGAGGAGAAAACAGAATAATTTTAAAAAATCAGGTGGGCTGACATTAGGTTACTATTCCAGGTTGCTTTCCTTGTAAGGGTTAAAGCAACGTTGCAACATTTACATGTTCCCGGGATCAGGACATAGGCATATCTTTTTGGGGGGGCCACCATTCAACCCACGACAATATCCATTATGAAAGGCTGTGCAGAGAGACACTAACCAACCCCAACATCTCGGTGGCATTTCAAAAGGTGGCCGCTCTGTCATCCCGGGTCCTGGAATGAGGACAACTCAGAGGAGAATCCCAAACCAACCCAAAGTGATCATAACTTCTGTTGTGTCAAGCCAATGAGATGTTGGGGTTGGTTACTGTCTGACCCTGAGGCACCGTCCCAAACCCCCTGCACCTGAATCGCCATGGGAGCCCAAGCTGCGGTGATTTTCCAAGTTCCATTCACACACCCGTGATTTTGATGATCAGCCAGGATTGGGAACTCCAACTTTATTCCATACCGATCCTGAGAGCTCTCTGCACAGCCTTTCATAATGGATACTGTCGTGGGTTGAATGGTGGCGCCCCAAAAGATATGCACATGTCCTGATCCCAGGAACATGTAAATGTTCCATCATTTTGAAAAAGGATCTTTGCAGAGGTAATTAAGTTAAGGGTCCTGAAATGATGGAATCACCCTGGATTACCCATGTGGGCCCTGAATTCAATGGCAGGAGTCCTTATAAGAGTGAATCAGGGCCGGGCGTGGTGGCTCACACCTGTAATCCTAGCACTCTGGGAGACCGAGGCAGGCAGATTGCTCGAGGTCAGAAGTTCGAAACCAGCCTGAGCAAGAGTGAGACCCCGTCTCTACTATAAAAATAGAAAGAAATTAATTGGCCCTCTAATATATAGAGAAAAAATTAGCCGGGCATAGTGGCGCATGCCTGTAGTCCCAGCTACTCGAGAGGCTGAGGCAGGAGGATTGCTTGAGCCCAGGAGATTGAGGTTTCTGTGAGCTAGGCTGACGCCATGGCACTCACTCTAGCCTGGGCAATAGAGTGAGACTCTGTCTCAAAAAAAAAAAAAAAGGGTGAATCAGAAGGAGATTTGACACAGTCTTGTAGAAAAAGGCCATAGGAAGAGGGAGACAGAGATGGGAGTGATGCAGCCACAAGCCAAGGAATACAGACAGCCACCAAGAACTGGCAGAAGCAAGGAATGAATTCTTCCCTAGAGCTTCTGTAAGGACTGTGGCCCTGCTCATATCTTAATTTCAGACTTCTGGCTCGCAGAACTGTGAGAGAGTACATTTCTGTTGTGTTAAGCCACCAAGTTTGTGGCAATTTCTTACAGCCACAAATAGACTCAACAGAAGAGGGCATCCATGGCCCTGTCTTCCCCCAGGCAGCTCCCAGTCTCCTGAGGGACATGGCAGCCGCATCAGAGAGACGGGGTGGGCAGAAGGAGGCAGCTCCAGGACCAGGGCTGACCGCTTGGGACACACGCTCGGGCGGATGGTAGAGGGAATTTTGAGCAGCGGTCTGAAGAGATCTGTGTGGCCACTGAGTAGAGGAGCGAGGGGAGGGGGCTTCAGAGAGAGGCTGGCGGGTGTGGACAGCAGGATGGGGACCTGGCCGGGACTGCAGCCCCACAGGAGCAGAATCTTGGGGAGTGTGGGGGCATTTGGTGGGATGGAAGGGCTGGTGGGGCCTTGAAACCCAAGCTGACATCCCTTCATACTGATAATTATACAGCCAGAATGGTAACTGGAAAAAATGCTTATGATCTCAAAATAGGCCAAAACAGCAAAATTCCAAATTGTATCTATGCCCAGACCACAACTATACATATGTGTGTGTGTGTGTGTGTGTGTATACAGAGACTGGAACACAAGAAAATTATGGGATGGATTCGTGAACCATTTTTTTCTTTCATATTTTATTGTTATTGAAGTTGCCACACTGTTTAATAAACCAAGTTCAAAATGAGAAGTTTGGGGTTAATATGGAAAAAATAAGTAGCCACTCAGTGTTCTTGAAGAACGGTGGGG